TTTGACCAAATAACCTTTGAGTCTATATCAGAGCACCAAGCGGTCCAACAGGTTGATTTAGTATTATTTGTAGAGTGCCTCTGATTGGCTGTTACCAAGGTAACTGCCCTCCCACAGAGCGTCTGTCTGTTTACCTCTCATCATAAATGAATGCAAAACACAATCATTCATTCACTCATCAAAGAACAGACAACATTATTGTCAGACCCACCTGTTTCATGTCAGACTTTTGCTGAATGGCCTGGAAATAACGCTTGCTATGCATTATTCATGTTATTGACTTCTGATAGGTCAGATCTGTTCATTGTTGGATAAAGAAATGTAGCAGGAGTGACTTGAAACTGTTTCCACTCTCGACCAGTGGCCTTTGCCCCCTGCTGAACGCTCAGTAGTGATTATGGGAAGGATCAAAGCATCTCTCTCCCTGCAGGGGTCACTCCCTCAAAGGTCACCGTCAGAGATGGTGTGCGAGTGATATGATAGGCTAATTGCAGTCATGTATAAGTAAAGACATGGTTCATGGTAACCTAGCAACTGTCATGAGTGCTTATAATAATTGATCGAGGAAACAGAAATCCAGAATTGAGAGTTGTAGATCAAAGGGTAGACAAAACATGCACCTTTTGTGTTGTTTATGTTGTGTGGCGGCCATAGGTTAGTGGTAGTTATATAGTTATACAGTAGTCAACATTTGAAGTGAATCAAAAAAAATAAATCTAAATTGTCCTTCCACAAGCACTGGAGTTGTTCAATAGTTTTAAGACCGCTTTAAAAAGTTTTCATTCGCTTCAAATGTTGACCTCTATAAGTTATATTGTAAGTTAGGGCTGAAATGAAGAAGTGTGTACATTTAAAAAAATAATTTTGTGTATTGACCTTATTCTTCATATATATGTGGGCACCTCTATTGTAATCTTTTTGGCTGCATTTACACTGCATGGTTAAAGTGGCCCAATTCCAAATTATTATTATTTTTATTTTTATTTTTTATTATTATTATTTTTTCACCCATGTGGCACAGATCGGATTCGGCCCATGTATTTGTGAGCAGGAAAAATTCATATGTATTCTGATTTACTCAAATCAGATTCAGGCCTTGTTTATATGTACAAATTTGTCCGATATGAATTGGGTCCATGCCCTTAAGCATGGGCTGGTAAAAGATTTCAACGGTATGATAACCTTGGATAAAAATATCACGGTATCATGGTTTCACTGTGTTGTGATTACTGCTCTAAAGTATATACTTTTTAAATGTCTGAGTAAAAATACAACAACTTTTTCCTCTTTAAACACAAAGTATTTTAATTTGACAAACATTTAAAGTATTTTAGAGCAGCCCGTAAACATGTCCAGCTAAATAGTTAAAGTGAATCATTGACTTCTGCTGTCTTCATTTGTTTCAAATAGAATTTGTCTCTCTGCTGGATACTGTTGGGCAAAAAAAAAAAAAAACATAAATAAAAAATCTTAGATCTACCATAGGAACAATATAGCAGAGAATGTGAGCAGTTTTAAAACCTTGACTTTTCCAAACCATGGTATACTTTGAAAACGGTTATCGTACCATGCCTGCAAGCAGGTAGATCAGATTTTCACTTGTCAATGCGAGGTGCACGTCAAGAACCTTATCGAATGACGTCTACTTGGATGTTTTTATTTCACATCAGACTTCAGCAGATTCCCAAACAGAAAAGCATTTATATTGTCATATAGTACAAATATTAAAGCATGCTTGATGGATGGATGGATGGATGGATGGATGGATGGAGGGAGAGAGAAAGAGAGAGAGAGCGCAACATCCGCCACTTAATATATAAAGCTGTTGCATGCATCACGTGCATTAATCACGCCATGGACATTATGTTAAGATGCCTACTGGATGGCCAAATGAGAACATTTCTGTCATAACTTGTCAAAAAGAATTTTAAAAACTTAAACCCTACATGCGAACAGAATAAATATACCAATGGAGAAAAGGGCGCTCTTTTATTAGCTGTCAGTCAGCGCCCGCAGAATAAGGACAATAAGGTCAATAGTTGCCATGAACTGTGCCGAAGCGCACTTGTCCCCCCTCTTCTCTCCCCTGATGGCCTGCACTCACATTGCATTTACTTTCCAAGCCAGAGCACGCTTGCGTCATTGAAGATGTGACTGTTCAGTTTAACAGGAAGAGAAGCGTTCTCGCTCAGCAGTGACAGCGCAGTCAAATATTTTGCTGAACAAATCCACAACTGTTGATGCTTATAAATTATCATAAAAAGTCCTCGTGGTGCACATATTAGGAGGTTTGCTGAAGATGACAGCTGACCTGCAGCGAGCTGTTGGTGACTTTATTCCACTAAGACCATTCATGTTCATTGAAAAGTAAAAATGTTCAATAAATCCATATGAAACAGTCCCTTTAAAGTGATGTTGCGTCTTCAGTTTCGGGCCCAGTCACCCTGGAAGGTTTGTCAAAGAGCTAGATGCACAGCAAGTGTTCTTTCTTTACCGATAAACTTCTGGTGAAAGGTTACTGTGACTACTTTCAATTTCAAAATGTGATGAAAAGCCGTTTAAACACAAGTGCCGTCAGTTGCAGCAGACGAGCGCAGAAACTCTTGAAAATACTGGTAAAATAAATTCATATTTTAAAGACATGACGCAATGGAATTTTACGGAGACCCGGAAGGGACATGATGGTGGAGAAAAAAAATGAGCGGGAGAAAAAAAATGGGTGGGAGAAGAAAAAAAAAACGAGTGATAGGTAAACATATTTTTGAAAGTTTTTGCGTTCCCTTGTTTTACCATTATATCCTATTATTAGTTATTTTGTAATTGTTCTCTCATATTTTTAATCTTGAAAGCATGTTGAAATTAATATAAAAATGTTGTTTTTATGCCTTGCAAGCAGCAAGTTTAAATGTTTGTTTTGTCTGTATTCTACGTTGTTGAGGCTGCTGATTTGTCACCAAGATAATGTTATCTAGCTGGCCTGCGTAGATGTGGTTTTGTCATATGCAAAAATGAGTGATGAAAGCAATATGAAGTATGTGTTGACAGCTATATTTTGCATTATGCAATGAATGCATTCCAATTGTTGCAGTTCAAAAATCAAATAAATGTTCATTATTTGAACATTTTTAATCCAAGTTTGTTTGACTTTCCTCTGCGAAAAGAAAATATTTTCAAGATAACTGACAACCTAAAGAGATGGTGGATAGGACAAGATATTTCTGCTATGCTTCAATGAAAAAGGCCATTCACCTTTTAATGACATGAAAAATGAAATCACATTTTTGTGTGAAGTGTTTCTTTATGAAATGAACATTCAAGATAATCATGAACAGGGAAGAGAGAGAAAGGAAGTCAAACTACGGCTAAATTTTTCATGTTTTGTACATGACATGTACACATTTCGGATGGATTTAAACCCATCCATCTGATACAAAATCTATTTGCCAGTAGATGGCATTGTCATCACTTTGCAGTCCTAGAGTCTGGAAATTAGTGCATTGAGTTGTGTGTTGTGCAGATGTTTAGTCAGTAGGCTGTTCACATGCCTTATATTAAAAAATGGACTGTTATACACAAATAATGTGACTTCAGTTGCATTGTCATATGCTTTGAATGGATCCTTGTTAGTCGGCAAAATTGAATGTTAAACCCTAAAGCTGCGTTTATTTTGATCATACATTCTGTAAAAACAGTTAAATTGTAAATTATTGCGATTTAAATATTAATATCTAATAGTTTCTAATGTAATAATGAGAGAAAAAAAATAATGAAGTTTTTGAATAATTAAAAATGTATTGTAATATATGTTATTTATTATAAAATTATTGTAATTTTCACTGAGTGGTACAGTTCGTTGCGCTTCATGGCCGTTTCCACTGTTAAAAGGTGCCAAAAAGCGTACCGTACCATAGCACAACAAAAGGATACCCAAAGGAGGAGCTAAACGCGCATATGAACGCTATTGGTTTACAGAGATACGTCACACTCTCGTGCAACAAGCAGGAGAATGACAACAAAGAAACCGCCATTTTTAAATACATAGCCAAGACATTATACCATTATAATATATACATATAACAACTCGCCATGGTCGACACCCCAGCTCAAACAAACCTTGTCGTCGTCTTGATGAACAACCACAAACACAAGAAGAACAAAATCTGCTGGGTCCTGTTTTTGTTTTACGAGGCTTTCTGAAAGTGCAAGCGGTTTCACTTTCTCCAGACAGCTTGCGTGCACTCACCGTGCGGTTATATTTTAAATAACAAACTTCTTAAGCTGATGATAACAACCTGCACGTGACTATTGAAGTGCTTCTGACATCTGATCCTTTTAGAAGTGGACAAACTGCAAAAATGTAGCCAGAGGCTAAGAAAAATTTTTGCCTCAAATCTGACTCTAACTTTTAAGAGGCACAAACCATCTAAAGACTATGAAAGCGAAGCAAATGTTGCCCTGAGGCGGACAGAAACTTTGAGTAGGTTGTGACAACCAGAGCAGCATCAATATAGATATGCTGGCTTTTGTTGCTCAGCTGCGTGGGAAACTCTCTCCATCTGGCCGTCACACTGCTGATGCTGCATGACATTCATTTTATATAAGGTAAACATAAACATGCCAAGAAGTTGGCTTCTTCTTTGCACAACCATTTCAGCAAAAATGTTAACTCTTGAGAAAGGCAATTCATAGAAAGTACATGTTTTTAATTATAACCCCTCATGTCAGTGGTCTTTTTCTAGTGCTCTCACTGAGCCACGTGTTCTGTCGGCCATAGATACATATCCTGCTCAGTGAGTTGCTCAGCAGAGAGGCCTGTGAAGCTCAAACGTGACACACGCAGACAAATCATCAGCGCCTCATTCCCATGGTAAACTCCCACCCCTCCTCCTCGGGGGTCTACGCTCTGCCTCTGACCTTGTGGGTTTAAATGGGAAAGGCAGAAAATAGACTTTAGACACAGAGCCCGTCCGTGTTTCCGTGGGCTCAGCTCGGACACCTGATCTCATGTGTTCCTCAGTGGAGCTGCAACTTCGTTCACTTGTACACATAACACACTCTCATGAGCCAGCTGTGCTTTACTTTCTCAAATAATTTCAATACCAACTCATTTCTGGTTCCCTGGAGTGATCGACGCAGGAAGAAAGCAAGAGAAGGAAAGAGAGAGCTGTCAGAGTGAGTGATAGAGAAGTGCGGGTGGTCGCCGTGTATTTTGGGTATTCTGTGTGTTGGCGTGTTGTCTTCCGTGTTGTTTGTATGTGGACATGGGTGAGACCAGTAGGCATGATTGGAGCAGGAGGCTCTGTTTGTCAAGTTGTGATTGAATCAAACATCTGATCAGAATATATTGTTATGCCCATTACATATCTTTTAGATTCAAGTTCACTGGGTTGAGAGTAGTAGTTTTTTTTTTTTGCGTTTGAGTTTATTTTTATTGCACATTTATACAACCAGGCTTACAAACAAATAAATAGAAAGATAAAAAAGATGAAAACACACTCAGTACAATTACAAATTGAACATCACAAAATATTAAATTTAAACACCACCAACAGATAATTTTAAACTCTGGCTTGCTAAAATTATTGCTTGCTTCTTTAAAGCAAGCAATAATATATGACTTTTTTTAATGGGCCTTAATAATTTAAATGGACTGAGCAGATCTTAAGATGTACTAGGGCTGGTCGATTATGGGAAAAATCATAATCACGATTATTTTGGTCATAATTGTAATCACGATTATCCAAAACGATATACAGTTGAACTCAAAGTTATTCGCCCTCCTTGTTTTTTTTTTTATAAATATTTCCCAAATGATGTTTAACAGCAAGGAATTGTTTGCAGTATTTCCTATTATATTTTTTCTTCTGGAGAAAGTCTTATTTGTTTTTTTTGTTTTTTGGCTAGAATAAAACAGTTTTAAATATTATAGATGATATTTATATAGATCATATAATAGATCAATATTATTAATAATATTATTTTTTTATTGTCTGCAGAAAAAAACACTGTTATACAATGACCTGCCTAGTTACCCTAACTGGCCTAATAAGGCCTTTAAATTGCACTTTAAGCTAAATGCTTATATCTTGAAAATTATGTTGTAATATATGATGTACTGTCATCATAGCAAAGACAAAAGAAAAAAATTTTTTTTTTTTTTTTGCCTTTTATTAGGATAGGATAGTGGAGCTTACAGACAGGAAAGAATTGGGAGCAGAGAAAGGGGAAATATCAGCAAAGGACCTCGAGCCAGGAATCGAACTTCGGGTCGCCGTGCACTGTGTCGGTGCACAGGCAGAAAAATAAATAAACATTAAGCATTGTAGCAGTAAGAAGCTATAATACAGATTATTGAGCTGAAGCTTGACTACAAAATTAAATTGCGAATCAAATCGAAATCACAATATTATGGGATTAAATTCCCACTTAAATTATCGTGGTCGCGAATAGACAAATACTGCGATAAATCAAAATTTTGACATCGCGTGTAAAATTATAACTCGCAAATGCGAGAATAAATACAGAATAAGAAGCAACAAGGTTGTGTACCAAAAGAAATAAGTTATTAAATCTATTAAGTTTTGAAATGGGTTAAAATCTTCTTTTTATAAACAGAGATTGGGGGAAAAATATAAAGGTATATATTGCTAATAATTCAAGAGGGCTAATAATTCTGACTTCAACTATACAGTTATTTTCCTCCCTGTAAATAAGAAAAGGGAAATAAATACAATAGAATAAGAACATGAAACAAACTGTGCTTTAAGCATCTCCACTTTTAGAAAAAAAACTTTAATTACAGCTACAAAAGTCCTTCAGTCAACTGCAGTAAGTGGTTTTGTCCTTTTGCTGTTTGGTTAATCATAAAGACAGTCGGTAGCTGGAGTATTGCGCGCTGTCACTTTTAAAGCAGTATGGTTCTGATTTATGGCTTCACTTTCACATGTCTTAATTCTCAACTCAACACAAATGTGGGTTAATATGAATAATTACTTAACACCACATTTTGACACGCATTTGCATGTATTTGTCCATTGAAGCGCTCGCATTAAGATGACTAGATGTGTGTCCTCTGCTCGTCTCTGAGGCTAAGCACATACACACAACAGCATGCAATCTCTTTCACGCTTTTAAAAACATGAATGATTCGAATGTACATCAATGAATGATCCCCATCCTGTGCTGCAAAAGTTAAGTACATGCTTTTGGTCATTTTTACGTGAAACTGAGCTTTGCAGAGCAACATATGTGTACAACTGGAAAGGAGGCGATATTTAATGCATAATCATTTTATCTCGATTAATGTTTTTACATAATTGTTGAAGCCAAAATCAAAAATTTCGATTAATTGCACAGCCCTACGGTGTACATCAGATATGCTTTGCTTGCGTTATTACATGGAATACAAAAACAAGAGTCTATTGCTTTTATTTAGGGCCTTGCAAGATAAAAAAAAGATATATATTCATTATGTGATACAATTAGGGATGTAACGATTCACTATGAGTCGTTTGAAAATCGATTCAAATATGTAACGGTTTAAATCGATAGAAATGTTGAATGAATCGTGATACATGTTTTGAACAGAGGGAGCGCTGTGTTTATAGGCGCAAGCTCACTCTACCTGCACATCAGTGGCAAGCAAGAGGTGGGTTTGCGGAGTAAAATGACAGCGGTGAGGTGTGTCAGACTAAACACAAACCGTGTGCCAATACTGCGAAAAGATCTTTACTTACACTATCTGAAAAACAAATATGATGCACAGAAACTGTCAGCACAGTGATTAAAAAATATTAATAAACCAAACCACCTAGATGATTTGCAGCTCCGCTTACTTGGAAAGCGAAAGTGTGAAGATCTTTTTCAGACTGAAAGAGAAAGTTGTTCTGTTACAGAAACAGGTATTACATTATTTTGACCCTCTCCTTTTCAAATTAGTGTGTTAAATGTGTATAATACTGATGCTTTTACTAATTAATTATACAAACAATATTAATTATTAAGCTTCATAATCATGTTCGACTCCTGTCTTCTATCCTCCTATATAATTAGTCATTTTATTATCAGTATTTTATGCCAGTGGCCAAACCTATTGACCACCTCTGTACATGTAAAATCCCTGCACAGTCACAGTTTTAGTTTGTTTATATTAATGAGTCCTTAGTTTGTACTCTTTTCAATTTTATTTGTTTTTAAACTAGCAATTTAGTTTTGGCAGAAAAATATATTATTTAGCAAAAAAAAAATGCAGCATTTAAGAAAAAATGAAATGACTCTTCACATTAAATTTGTTTCAAATAATTTTGTTTAAAAAAAAAATCATAACTAAATTTTGAATTGTGAGATTAGTTTTGTAAATTGGATTGAATCATGAGTCAGGTGAATCGTTACATCCATAGACACAATATCTATAAAAAAATGTCTTAAAAAATGTATAAAAATCTTTTTTTGAGATCAAACTACTTATTTTAAAAAAGGCTGAAAAAAGGCAATTTTTGAGGGGAAATTTCGGGGAAAGGAAAGCATCACTACAACCTCTGTGAACAGCCATATAAAGAAAATCATATATTTTAACATAGTAAACAAATAAAAATAAATATCATCTCCACTTTGCTCCACTTGAACAGCTATATCAGCCTGAAAACATTAAGAACAATAAGCAAAACAAAAATGCTTAACATGTTTTGTATACTTGGTCAGACAGTATTTCAGCATCCATTTTAAAATTGTTACAGATTTTTGGACCTAAAAAAGCAAAACAGCTGGTAACACTTTATTTTAGTGGTCCACTTGAGTATTAGTAGGCTGTCTGCTTAATATCTGCTGATACTGCTCCTTCAACAGACATTTAACTGACTATAAGAAACTTTGCAAGTAGTCAACTTACACTAAGCCTAACCCCAACCTAACAGCCTACTTACTGTATAATATAATGAGAGTTAGTTGGCATATAGATTCAATGTAACTTAAATTTAACAACCGGACCATCAAAATAAAGTCTGACTAAACAGCTTGTCCACTCTGCATGGTGTGCTGAGAAGTCTTTAAGAGGGTGTACTACTGGAAGGCACATAACGATACTGTATATTAAATCTCATTTATTTCAATGTACACTATTCTGGTATGTATATTGTGATATGCTTATTTGCAATAATATTGATATATATTGCAAAGCCCCACTTATATTGCATTTTTATACAATAATGGGTTTTACTTGATGGATGAATCTGTGAGTCCACTGCAAAACTATTACTCTGTTTTGTAGTTTTTATTTATTTATTTTTTAATTTTTTTTGAAAATGGATACAAAACCTGAAATGCTTTCCAATTTTCATGTGAATCTCAGAATTGGTGCGTTATTTTTCCCAACTGTAAAACTAACTATGTACTTTTTAATCATGTTTATGATAAGACCAGTTTTTTTTTTATATCTACTGCCTATATTAACCTCTTATTTTTTAGGTGGTTGTGCATTTTAATAATACTAAACAAGCAGGGTTTAGTTATATATTTACATCGTATTGTTTGTTGGTGAGTATTATGGAGTTAATTTCAGAATGTATTGGTCAACGGAGCATGTTTAAAATGTACATGCATTTTTCTTTTCTTTAAAAAATGCACACGTTCATTTAGCTTAATCTTTAGGCAAGGCAAGGCAAGGCAAGTTTACTTATATAGCACTTTTCATACACAGTGGCAATTCAAAATGCTTTACATAAACAGGAATAAAAGAGAGTAAGTGTAAGAAAATAAAAACAAATAATAAGAATTATAAAAATAAGAATTAAAATAGATAAAACAGACAAAAATTTAATAGGTTATAAGAAAAAGAAAAGAAAAGAAAAACATGTAAAACACAAAATATTTAATTGTTGTATCGCATGCAAAAACTTAAAAGGAACATCCATTTTTCATAATAGTACACTGCCTACAGTACATGTATTGACTTATTTGTCATTGATCAGTTATACATGTCATGAGAAGTGTAATTAGCTTCCTGCATTGAATCTGTGCTTGTCTACGACCATATCAGCCTTTTCTGTGCAGACGTGCAGTTTCATGCCAAAGTAAAAGGGTCTTCCCTTTAGATTCAGGGAACTGTCTTTTCTTGAGTGTGCGTGTGTGTATTGAATGCATACAGTACATTTCCTTCCCCGTCTTTGGCTCTGTAA